AGAGGGGGCTGCACCGGCGTGCCCGCCGGCTCTGCCGGCAGCCAGCTGTGCCAGAGTGAACCGAGCCGCAGGCCCAGAGACCGGAGGCCCGAGGGCCCCCTTTGCCCCGGAAGAGACCTGACCGACCAACAGGCACCAGGCCCCGCCAAGTAGTCGCCGGGAGTGAGCTGGTACATACCTGAGCGCCCAGCCCCGGACACCAAGAACCACCAACGTACCGACCCCTGAGGGCATCAGTCACCGGCAGGGAGTGTGGTGAGGGGAGATAGGCTTTTGGAGGGCACATCCACTTAAATGAAAACTTAGAGGCTTATAGAGCAACGACGGGTGACAACGGGCCGACGGACACAGCAACCCTATCATCTAATAGCTATCAATATATGCATTAATATGCATTTAAACAAGTAACTGACAAAGAAAGAGCAGATAAAATATCAGTAACTAACAAGCCTAATAATGGTTTTAATAATGGTTTTGATGACTGACACAAGCATAGAGGCAATCTGAAAAAAGCTGACTAGACAGATCAGATAAGATGACAGGTGCTGGCAATACGATGACAAAATTCAGAGCTGAATTACAAGCGGGAACAATGAGGGAATTTCTTTGATCAATCCTTAAGAGAGTGGCGCTCACCCATGGAGCTGTTTCGATGATTTAAAACGTTATCCGGCCTTTTCCCCAGCTCAGGTTATTCCCTATCTACGCATGAAAGTGCTGCTGCAACTAATTATTGAAACAGAATGACATCAGGACAGCAGCCAAACATGAGTTTGATGTGTGTGAGACACTTTACCGTGTTCATGAGTGTAGACTCCGAGTTTGCCACCAGCACAAAAACATCAGCATCCAGGCAAAACTTGTCTATCCAGCTGTCCAGCTCTAACGTGACGTCTGTTCCGGGGCTGGAAGTCAGAAGGGAGGTCAAATACACCAAATGTACGAGATAGGTGGACTTTTCAGATGCGAAGATCTGATCCTGTTACCTGTCTACAAGCACCAGGTCGTCTCGCAGCAGAGCACATTTGGTCTTTGGCCAGAAGACACGTACCAGGCAGCCTGCATCCAGGCTTTCATCCATGAGAAGCGCGTGAGCCAGCTGGTTCACGGTCTGCAGACAGGGAGGAAATCCACTGATGTTAGGAATATTTACACAAAAAGTTTATAGTAATGCAAATGAAAATTTTAGCACATTTTGCAGCCACCAAAATGTGTTAAAAACCACCGAAGGGTGCTGGTTTGGACCCTGAATTGTCCCAAGAATCCATCAGAGTGTGAGAGAGTGTGTTAACAAAGCACCTTAGGTCTGTATGACTGGAAGAAAAGTGGCTTGTAGTGAAAAGTGCTTCGAGTGCTTGATTCGAGTAGAAGCGCATTATTTATAAATATGAGTAAATTTACCACTTGGAAACCCACCTAGCTTTAGTCACTTGAGTTATTAACACGTAAAAACAGCAGACTGATTATTAGGAAGGTGAGACGAAGCCGCTCAGCTCCACACAGTAAACAAGACTGTAGGGTCTCCTTTAAATTTCAGACACCTAACACTGCAGTAAACATCCTGCCTTCATGTCACATGTTCTTACGTGTCTACAAGTTCAGCCTTTGCCCAGTTCAGTTTGCATTCAACTGACTATTTACGTGGCTGTAGCTCAGGAGGTGGAGCAAGCCATCGACTACCTGAAAGGTTTGTGGTTCAATCCCTGGCTGCTCCACTCTGCATGCTCGCACACACAGTATGAATGTGTGTGAAGTTAGACAGAAAGCACTTACACAGAAATAAGTGCTGGTGTGAAAGCGCCATATAAGAACCAGTCCATTTAGCTACTCAAGTGCTACATTTATCTGCAACTGTGAAAAACTTCAGTCCCATTATTACTAGTGTTTTAATAGCAAACCACAAACAACAAGAATAAGGACGTATAGTATGATAGAAAGAGCGGCAAGCAGTGTGAACAGATGCTCTGATTAACGACCACAGTGGCATTCTGGTGCGTGTGTTCACGTAAACTTTGTCCTCAGTTTCTCTGGAGGGGATCAGCTGCACATAATTACTAGACAGAGCTCGCAAACTTCCAAAAACACTCTGCTGCCTCTGAATTAAACTTACCTTGACACTCTTCTTTTCATCTGAGCCGTCTGTCTTGAGGTAGGCCTTATCATCATCGGTGCCCTCCACACTCAAGAAGCAGTTGGTGGTGTGGCCAATACCACTTGGCAGCACTCGATCCCTCAGCATGGCATTAACCACTGTGCTTTTACCATTACTGGTCCTGAGATCAACAAACAGATTCTTTACTTACTTATTTAACCTTTATTCACACAGGCGGTCCCACTGATACTCGAGGTCTCATTTGCAAGTGAGACCTGTTGTTGCTCAGTGTGCTCATAATTTTAAAAACTCATAAAGAAATGAAAGTGTTACGTACAAAGTTCCTGTTATTTTCAGCTAGTCCAGCTGCTGTATGGTGCAATTTATTGCTATCTGACTGAATTACTTGAATATAGGACATGCTTGTTTTGCTGTAACACATTAGTTTCACGGTCAGGTAACTACTCGAGGCACGTGACTCATAGCTAAAGAAAATGAAAGTAAAGACACGCCTATCCACACAACAGGGAAAAGAGCGCTTTACATTCCCACGACTGAGAGCGTCACAACAAAAAAAAAAAACACTCTGGAAAATACCATTTAAGAATAGCACCGCTTTTGGTAGAGCATGTGTAAAGCATGGTTATTATAGTTCAACGAAAGTAAACATAAAAAGTAAAACTAGATGTGAAAACACCTGATTACACTGAAATAAAAATAAAAAGACTTCTTTAGCAAGACTTAAGATGAGTGTGAGTCCACTTTCTTCACAAATGCACCGTTTATATTGTAATAGCTGTTCTGATCTTCTTAAATCTCACAAACACATCACTGAAGTAAACTGATAACAAAAACTTTTTATTAATAAAATGTCATTAAATAAAAAATAAATCTGGTCAACAGGTAGACTAACCTGCCAAAAAAGGCCACTTTCATGTGCCTGCGTGCCAGCACCTCCTTGATGACAGCCAGTTTGTCTCTATATGCCTTAATCTGCTCCTTCTGATCCTGAGTTGCGATGTTCTCCAAAGCTTTATTCCCGCTGATGTCTGTCAGCACAAAAACACAGCATGAAGAAAAGCAAGTGCTGTGCGCCTCCTGCACCAACACTCCTGATTGACAAGAAGTCGGTGTTAGAAGCTCCCAGGCAAACTTCTCTCACCTTCCACAAACTCTGAAGTCTCCTTCACGTAGTGGAGTAGCTGCTCGAACACATCGCTGATCGTCTTCTTGGCCACAACAAAGTGCTTGAGAGGGGAAAACTCGCCCTGGGCCGAGTCAGTCCGTCTGAATGGAGGCGCCGCAGCCATGCTGGTCAATCTGAAACCGGAGGCGTCAGCAAGGACAAACACACTCGTATCAGCGGGCACGAACAACACCGCAAACACAGTTTGGATCGAGCCGAAACACTTCTGTTGATCTTAATATTACAGTTACATAACTTAAGTATCAAAGTATCAAACTGCAGTGATGGAAGATGGATTGTTTATTAAAAGTGTTTTAGCAAAGTTATCGAACAAGAGTTAGCAGTGACGCCGTGCATCTTCCTACACATTTCTACACACGGTGTTCAGATAGGTAGCTGTACACACATATGGTGAGTGCTGTCCTGGAGGCTAACAAATTAAGCTAGGTCATGTTACAGGCAGCCGTAAGCTAGCATTAGCCCCGGCGCTACTTTTTTCCTCACCGCTGTCCAAAGAGAGCCCGCGTCCTCTTCTCATAACACAAGTAATATAGATCCGGGTGGACAATGCAGAGATTTCCTTTGCTTACTGGAAGACTGATTGCTGTCAGACTGGTTAGCCCGTGTGTTCACTGTAATGTCACAGCGCCAAGTTAGTTAGAGGAAGAAGTATGCTTCCGAAACAAATTTTCCAAATAAAATGCCCATTTGACAGAAACACTAGAAAGTACAGTACTCAGTTTTCAGTTTTATTTGTCATATGCAAGTTAGCACAGGGTCAACATTGCAATGAAATGTGTTTGACGAGCAGCAGTCACTCAGCAGCATGATACAGTAGGAGAAAATATAATAAAATATAATAAAAATAAAAATAGAAAAATAGTAAGGAGCAAAATATTAGAGAGACGTGGTAAAAGAGAAAAGATGACTAAATATACATGTATCTATAAATATAAATATATGTACACTATAGTGATTAAATAAGAAAAACTTGAAAAGAAATATGACGGGAGGGCAGATGGGATATTGCACAGGAATGAGCAGCAGAAAATTACAGTATTGCACTTTTAAATATAAATATCAATAACAATAAAGTGAAGTGACCAGTGCAGAATAAACAGAGTACTTGTGAAGCTGCAGGGTAGCTTCTGAGTGTGTTGTGTGTGTTTAAGTGTTGTGGTTGAGGTGTCGTATGGCCTGGTGGTAAAAACTGTTTTTAAGTCTTGTACTGTACTGTAAATGTGACCGCTGCTAACTGATGTCGCTTTAGTTTAATTGCTGTTGAACTACGTGTGTTTTACTGTTTTACCGCTGCCATTGTTTTTAGAACTTAAACGTGTCACCCTTGAGAAACAATATCGACTCGATATATTTTTTCTCTTTGAAACCGCTTTAGCGGCCATTTGTCCTGATCGTTCTTTTATTTTCAAACTTTAAGTGTCTAGACTTCCTGTTCTTCCACTTGACGCAGCCCCTGCCAGCGTCAGCTCCAGTCTCAGGACAGGGGGCGGAGATAAGTGACGAAACGGTTGTCCGGAAACAGCCAATCAATGAGCAAAGAATGTGTCCGACCCGGAGCTCTCCTTTACTGTAAACGACTGTCCAGGACATCTATATACGATTTAAAAAAAACAGACTCTCTGCACATGTTTCTGCAAAAAACGTCTAATGTTTAGTGAAAGTGAAGTGAAAGTAAAACAAAAAAACAGTGAAACTGAAAACAATAAGCACCAAACCCGGTAAACCTGTTATTAAAACCAAATTAAACTAAAATCTAATTTAAAACGAAACCAAAGGTAAAAACCTTTGAAAAATGTAAATAAGACAGCAACTCAACCCAGGTTGATGTTTGTGCCCTATCTCAGTTTGATAGAGGTCACACACCATTTTTAGAATACATACAGTGCTGTGAACAAGTATTTGCCCTCTTTCTGATTTCTTTTTCTTCTGTGTGTGTTTATTTGTCCCACTTTCAGATCTTTTTCAGATCATCAAACAAATTTTAGCATTAGACAAAGATAACCAGAGTAAATACAAAATGCACTTTTTAGATCATCATCAAGAGTGGGGAAAAAAAGCTATCCACACTTGGCTTTATGTGAAAAAGGTCATTTGAAACCTAATAACTGGTTGTGCCAGTCTTGGCAGCAAGACCTATAATCAAGCAATCATTTTGGTAATTGGCAATGAGTCTTTCACATCAGTGTGGAGAAATTTTCGCCTACCTTCTTTGCAGAACATTTTTAAATCAGCCAAATTCAGGAAACGAACGGGGCGGACATACTTTGTCTGGATTTTCTGGTAGAAAGCAGAATTTATGGTTTCATCACTTACTGGAAGTTGTCCAAGTCCTGAAGCAGCAAAACCCCCCCAGACCATCACACTACCACCACCATGTTTGATTGTTAGTATGATGTTCCTTTATGGTAAAGCTTCAGCTTTTGTCTCATCAGTCCACAGAATAGTTTCCTAAAACTCTTGAGGATTGTCAAGATGTGTTTTGGCTAATTTTGGCAGTCAAGCCTTTATGTTCCTTTTGGTCAGCAGTAGTTTCCTCTTTAGAGCTCTCTCATGGATGCCATTTTCCCAGTCTCTTTCTTATTGTTGAATCATGAAATCTGACCTTAACTAGGGCAAGTGAGGCCTGCAGGTCTTTAGATGTTCTGGGTTCTTTTGTGACCTTTTGAATAAGTTGTTACTGTCCTCTTGCAATTTTGGTCGGGAAGGTTCGTCACTATCCCAGGTTTTCTCACTGTTGTTCACTGGAGTCTTTAGAAAAGCTTTAGAAATGACCCTAACCCTTCCAGACTGATAGATGTCAATGACTTTGTTTTTCATCTGTTGAGTTTCTTTAGACCGTGGCATGATGTGCTGATTTTTGAGGTCTTCTTGCCAGCTTCACTTTGTCAGACAGGTTCTGTTTTATTGATTTTTTGATTCATTATATCTGGCAGTAATCAGGCCTGAGTGTGAATAATGACATTAAATTCAGCTTTCCAAAGAAACACACAAAAAAGTGGTTAATCACAGTTAATTTACGATTTACAAAAGTAAGAGTTAACGTCTTTTTTACAGCACTGTATACAGCCAAACTGGTCATCTCAGCAGCAGTTTGGTTACTAACGTAAAGATTCACGAGCTTTATTGTCAATACAGTAGTATACACAGTATACACAGGGTCGCAGGGGGCGCTGGAGCCTATCCCAGCTGTCATAGGGTGAGAGGCGGGGTACACCCTGAACAGGTCGCCAGTCTGTCGCAGGGCCAACACACAGGGACAGACAACCATTCGCACTCACATTCACTCGCACATTCACACCTAGTGGCAATTTGGATTATCCAATTAACCTATCCCCACAAGCTAGGTTGATTATTTATTTGTAATTCCTAGATATAAAACTAGGAACTACAAATAAATAATAAAATTAAGGGATAAAAAGGTACTAATTACTAACTATATAATTCTATACAATACTATAATGGTAACTATACAATATTAACTGTACGATAAACAAAGATAAACAAAGACAGGACAGAGACAATACAAAGTGGAATGTGCAGTAGGTATTGAATACCAGTTTCAAGTTATTGTCAGGATATTATTGACGAGACAAGACAAAGACATGTGCAAAATGTGCAAATATAATATAATTTCGGTGTGTGTTCAGAACTCTGTGACTGAGTGTGCAAAGCATACTGTTCCCAGGACCAGTTGTAGTGGATTTGTGGTAGTTTTTGTTGTTTTTGAGTCTTTTGATGATTATTGCATGGTGTTTGTCGAGGTGTATGTTTATATCAGTCCTTTTGTGGTAGTGAGTTGAGGGCCCTGCCTGCTTGGGGGAAGAAGCTCTTGCAGTGTCTGGTCGTTACAGTTTTAATGCTGTGAAACCGTCTGCCAGATGGAAGGAGGGAGAACAGTGCATGTGAGGGGTGGAAAGTGGCCTTCACTATGCTGTTCGCACGTCGAATGATGTGTCTGTCAGAGAGTTGGGAGATGGATGTGAGAGGGCCTCCAATGATCCTCTCTGCTGTCCTCACGATCGGCTGCAGAGACTTCTTTTCAGCGAGGGTGCAGTTCCCATACCAGATAATGATGTAGCAGCAGAGGATGCTCTCAATGGTTCCCTGGTAAAATGGTGTGAGGATAGGAGGAGGGAGACTGGCCTTCTTCAGTTTCCTAAGAAAGTGAAGACGTTGTTGGGCTTTCCTCATGATGGTGGTGTTCAGGTTCCAGGAGAGGTCAGCTGATATGTGCACACCCAGGAACTTCACACTGATGACCATCTCAACAGCAGATCCGTTGATGTGCAGTGGGGTGTGGGCCATTGAGCTCCTCCTGAAGTTAACAACCATCTCTTTAGTCTTCTGAACATTTAGAGACAGGTTGTTATTCTGACACCAGTCCACCAGGTGTTGTACCTAAACTACACGATATTTTGTGCATCTGTCAGTTTCCAGGAACAGTGATCAGAGTTAATCTGAAACCAGCTATATATGTGCAAACAGCTCCTTCTGAATTGGACAAAAGCAGGCAGGAAATGCCTGTGTGTGCGTGTTTATATGTGTGTGTCACTTTGACAGCTAGGACAAACTGCTATCAGTCAGCACAGCGGACAGTGAAATACCTCCACCAGGACCTCCAGCCTCTCGTTTTGCTTTGAGATATTCAAAATCTGCTCATCCTCTCAGGAACTCGTGTTCGAACCTCTTTTTTTCTCTTCTCTTGAATTTCTTTATGGTTTTGTGTGAATTTATGATGGGGAATTAAAATGGTGAGGAAGAAAAAGCTGCTGGTGTTTGAGTAAGTACTACTTTTGGACGCCTTTTCTCTTTAAAATGTTTGCTCAGTGTTGCCTATTTGGTCTGTAACCTCCAGTTAGCTATTACAATATACTTCTGTCACATGACTTTATACATGTATGTTTCTGTATTTGTGGCAGCTCTCAGATGCTGATGCGGTTTTGATTTGGTGAATAATGTATGGACACTTATTTTCAATGTATCTTGGGCACCATACATTAATAATGAGATGGATATAGCAGCTGCTCTCCCAGGCAGATATTGATTTCATGCCATCCAAGTGAAATTTTAATCAACATTAAACTCTGACCTTGGGAAATATGCACACTGTAATCATTATCGTCCAGGAAAGAAAAATAAGAGAGAGAGGGAATTAAAGACATGAAATGACAGGTGAAATATTTTTTTCCTGTGTGAAATAACCTGAGCTCAAACTATTTTCTGTCAGCTTCCCTTTTGTGCTGCTGCTATTGTGGCAGCACAGGTGAAACAAGAGCTCATGTGCGTATTGTCTGTGCGAGCTGGTGTGTATTGTACGTGCGTGTATGTATGGGTGACCTTTACATTGTGTTTTATCTAGCATTTTCTTGCTCTGGGAATTTTGTTATTTTCCCTTTCGAATCTTATCAGACTAGGAAAGGAAAGTGGAATTTCTCCATCTCTTGGTGTAAAAGCAGTTTGTATTTATCAGCTGAATTTTTCTCTCTGTTCTTCCTCTCTTCTTAGAATTTGTGGAAGCATGATGTGGGATGGATAAACAACTACAAAACTCTAATGTAAGTTTGCTGGATAATGTGCGTTAGCCATGTGTGTTTTGGGGATTGAATGACAGCAGAGAGGGATACACATATGAGTGAGCGGTCACTCTAGCAGCAGTTTTCCTTATCAGTAATAATTATATAATCTGTAATCATGTAGCAACGATAAGATTTCTCAAATCTAGTGAGAAATGCTTCACATTTTGCAAGTGTGTTACAGATTTTACATTTTCTAAAATGACAAATATTCTATCAACTAAATATTTCTGTTATTTTTGTTATTTAAATGTCCTTTTAAGCATGTATGTCTCTCTGTGGCTCTCTGTGTAGATGGCCTCTAATGAACTGGACCTTCCTGCCCTCTCCGGTGACCCCCAGCCTGGTGACCTCATTGAGATTTTCAGACCAGCCTATCAGCATTGGGCTCTCTACCTGGGAGATGGTTATATCATCAACTTAACTCCTGTTGGTCAGTAAAAGAGTTTCTAACGTAAAACTTGCAGCTATCCTCACAAATCTGACATAAACCCGCTTTATATTATGTTTTAGACTGAGGTTAAAAGGCTCACATTACAAACTACATCCTGATGCTTAATTAAATTAGAGAATAGTTCTCTCTTGGCTCTTGACGGAGGCGGTCGCATTCTTCTCCCTCTCCCTTCTCTTTCCTGCTTGGCTTCTCATGTCTTTTGTATAGTCTCGCTTTCTAACCCTCAAAGAGTTTCTCAGTCTTGTTCTCTAAAACCGAAAGAATTATGGATTTGATCAACTGGTCCCGTAACGGGATTGACACCTTCCTGGGCTTGGGAGAGCCCGATTGTCCTGCGGAGACATTTGCTGCCGGATACTCGATGGTCGGTTGCATCGTGTGTCTGGCGACACTCTCGATGGAGGACAATGAACGACATCTACCAATTCGGAACCACGATAACAGAGTTCTGGCTGATTGGAGCTGGCTCAGACCTGGCTTATCGAAGTACAAGAAGCGGCTACAGCTGTTCAAAACCCCACAAGGCTGGCCGACATCATAGACGATGGGCAGGGCTCTGAGTACTCAGACTGTGTTTTGAACTCAATATGGATACGATCTTGGAGAAGAACAACGGGAATTGAGAGAATTGGTGACCAGTGACGGACATTAGACCAATTGTAAAATTGGATGCAGTTGTTTGCACTAAACCTAAACATTCACCATCTTCACTCATACGGCCATCCCACTGGCACCAGCTGAAGGCCTGCCAAGGTTGAAGCTCACTGGAACAACAACCTTCCTTCAAGGCCATCCGCGCTGATCGATTGTTGACTTTTGCATAACCGGGTGAAAGGACACTTTCTCTCGGTTGAACATGGAACACGCACACACACACACGCATGTACACTGACACAGACCTACACTCACCCCCACCCCCTCCAAACGCCTTCGAAGCTCATGTCTTTATGTTGTGAGATGTATTGATTTATGTGCTGAGGTGTTTTTTTCTGTTGTCAAACTGATCTCCCTGTTGGAGCTCAGTCTGGGAGGAGTTATTTTTCTCCTCGTCTTTCCTCATGTTGTGCATTTTCCATTGTTATACCTCTCTGACCTGTCTTCCCCATGTGATGTTTGTCTCATGTATGTATGTTCGGAAAGGTAAGATGGCGCTGGCAAAGGTCGGCAGCCTTAACCCAATTTCCTTCGGGGTCAACCTTCAGGATCAATAAAGTTTTATTGAATTGAATTGAATTCAAATTAATTTTAGCTTTGTTTATTTCACTAAGGTCTGGGCACTTCATAACTCCTGAGATGTCGTTTATCAAATAATTGAAGGAAGAGTGAAAGGAGGTTAAAAATTAATACAATACAACTTCGTTGACCTGTTAAACTGAAATACCCACTCTGACACCACTGTGCAGTGACTAGTAACATGGAACATGTACAGTAACATGTAAACAAATTCAGGTATGAAAATACTGATAAATCACTGATTTGTGCATGAAATGTTTGTATCCATAAATCATGCACACATTTTTGTGTATGCACTGTTAGTAAGTGAGGGCCATTGTTCCAGATGCAGCTTTCCAAACATAAACTCTCCTGTCGTGCTCATTTTTAGAGAAAAGAGGCTTTATCTTGGCAAACTATTCATACTGGTTCAGTATTTTTCTAGCTGTCATGAATTTTAACATTCAACATGCCAACTGAAGCCTTTAGTCTGAGATGTAGCTCTTGGGTCATCGTGGGGCTATGATGTCCACTCCTGGGAATGTTGTAGGATCGTGTTTACACACATCTGAATGCTCCAGGCCAGCAAACTGCAGAAACTTTATAGAGGTGCTCACACTTTTTGATGATTATGTGCATTTTCCAGGGAAAGAGAGAGGATGTTCTTAGTTTTTCACAAATACACCCAGAGTCCTGTAAAAATGTCCTTTTTCATAGTGAACTGCATTCACTGTGAAACGGGCTGGGATAACATATCACAATTTTCACCCCCTTTTAACCAAAACTTGTTTTTACCCTTTTTTGACAAGCGTGTGGCCCCTGTTATCTGCAGATGTTGGCATCCCCTCCCCCTGTTTCATACTTGAAAACATCCCCATTTCTATCCGGTCTTTTAGTCTGATGTCATTAGCTGTTTCTGGGTCCAAACTCCGCGTCAGGTCCCAAAGTCAAATGAACACTGCGGTATAACTGAGCGTTACAAACTGTCGAAATTCTTTCATCTTAATAAAATGATCAGCGTTGCTGCTTTACCGGGTGTAACAATTCAGTTTAACATCCAGGCATCCATGAAAACAGAAGTTATGAAATTTAACTGAGTTTGAAGTTAGCAGGAGGTTAGCTCGCTAGTTTCCACCTGAACATGATAGAGCATGTTCTGACTGAGAGATTTAAAAAAAAAATGAAAACGTACAGCTCAGTTGTTCTCTTGACTGAAGTTTGGTCCGTTTACAGCATCCTGTGATTGCATTTGTCTCTAAACATTGGGAACCCTCACGTTAACTTTTATCAAGTGGAAAAAAGGTTAGCGTTCATCCTCCAGCTTCACTGTGCTAATGTGTTTATATCTGGTCTTTAAGTCTGGCATCATTAGCTTTAGCCTACAGAAGAGTCTTTCTTCTCTTCCCTTTGACAATTTAAATTAAAATCATCTCCTCCTTTCCCACAGATGAGAGCCAGGCAGCCGCCATGTCCAGTGTGAAGTCTGTCTTCAGCAGGAAGGCAGTGGTACGCATGCAGCTACTGAAGGAGGTAGTGGGAAGTGATTCCTACCGTGTCAACAACAAGTATGACCACAACCACACACCCCTCCCTGTCTGTGAAATCATCCAGCGGGCACAAGTCCTCATTGGCCAGGAGGTCTCTTATGACTTGCTGGGGAGCAACTGCGAGCACTTCGTTACCCTTCTTCGTTACGGGGAGGGGGTGTCTGAGCAGGTCTCTCACTGTTTGTTCTGCTTCTGTCTGGTGTGTCACTAAAAGCGACTAATAAATACAAAACATTGGCCCTGTCATAGTCTCACATTGTCAGACATTTAAAAACATTGACCAAAGTGGCAAATCAGAGTGAACCTTAACATCAGGGATTTATCCATCCCAGGGCTCTACTATACCACTAAAATGAAAACATGATACTTTGTCCCAAAATATAATTCATAATTCTATTTTTCACCCACATATAATCTTATAATTGCTTTAATTATGACCATGTTCTGTATTGAAAACAACGACATCCAAATCTACTTTAAAGCTATGTTTAAGAGCCAAATTCATCCTGCCAAAGCCCTAATCTTTACACAACAAATCAGCTTTGAATTAAATAATCAGCTCAAAACAGTTTACGGGAAAAAAAGGTTTACTGTAAATAAATGTGTTGTTGCCTGCTTCCTCTTATAAGTTACAGACTAATGAGTTAGTCTTGTTAAGTTTGGAATCATGCTGTATTGTGAATATGCAATAAAATCAATCAGCCTCTGCTAATACTATTCTAACCCGCAGTCCACGCCCTGCCCCTCCTTCTTGTCTCCACAGGCTTCACGAGCCATTGGGGCCATCAGTTTGGTGACGGCAGCAGCCAGTGCCTTCTCTGTCCTGGGACTGATCAACACACGGTCCAGAAACAGGCCTTTCTGACAGCTGTAGTCTTCACTCAAGTGTTTTCCCTAAATTCATTTGGCTGTGATAAAAAATAACATAATAAACATTGATAAAGATTTAAAAAATGATGTTATGTTTATTAACAAACCCCATATACTATTACAATATGGCCACAGTTGTTTGTTGATCCAGTCTTTGTTGTAGGCGGGAGTTATGAATTATTTGACCAAATTATTTTTTTCAACCCATGGAGCATTAATCATAGTTTGATGGGGTTAGGTTAATTGGTGAATCTAAATTGCCTGTAGGTGTGAATAGTTGTCTGTCTCTTTGCGACAGATGGGTGACCTGTCCAGGGTGTACCCCGCTCCTTGCCCTATAGCAGCTGGGATTAGCTCCTAAAGAGATGGATGGACAAAAATGTATCATCACCTTTGTAACTGAAAAACTATAAGCACGCCGGACACCAGTATAGGCCAGAGTAAATACTGTAGATCCCTGTTTTCTGTAATTTCAGCAAACCAAGCATGGTGTGTTATTTTCACTTAATTAATTTTTGATCTGTAAAGAGTGATGCCATTAGATGAAAGCAAATAATGGGTAATGGAGAGTTGTTGAATGAATTAATTACAGTCTTATTTTACGTTGCTCAGACTGCCATGGTAAATGGCCTGTATTTGTATAGCACTTTACTTAGTCCCTAAGGACCCCAAAGCGCCAGTCATCCACCCACTGGTGATGGCAGCTACATTGTAGCCACAGCTGCCCTGGGGCGCACTGACAGAGGGGAGGCTGCCGGACACTGGCGCCCTCTGACCACCACCAGTGGGCAACAGATGAAGTGTCTTGCCCAAGGACACAACGACCGAGACTGTCAGAGTCGGGGCTCAAACCGGCAACCTTCTGATTGCAAGACGAACTGCCAACTCTTGAGCCACGATCGCCCTGTATGCATGACAAAAACAGTCCTTCTCCCTCAATAGCAATTCATAAACATGGGCTATTTTTGTGTGTCTAGTACTAATCTTGTCCATATAACTGGATATATTTATAGCAGCAACGGCATTAATAATAATAATAATAATAATAATAATAATAATAATAATAATAATGCATTTTATTTAAGATATCGTAGTAATGTGTTGTTAACAGCAGGTGGCGGAACATGCGCGAAACTAACAAACAAACCCGAAGAGGAAGAAGAAGTGTGACGTCGTAGTCCTGCGCCGGCACGTGTACACGTGCTGTTTTCATAGGCAGAGGGGTGTTTTGAGTGTGTGACATATCTGTGTGTTAAGGTCCGGCGTAAAAGTAAAGCAGCAAATATGGGGAAGAAACTTAAGGTCGGAAAGACCCGGAAAGATAAATTCTACCACCTGGCCAAAGAAACAGGTAGAGTACCGGAAAACAACACGAGCTCGAGACTGTCGAGATATTAGCATTAGCAGGCTAAAGCTCCGATCGATATAAAGTGCGGGTTGCAGACAGCTGGCAATCTTTTAAATCTCCTTTTTTGTATTATTTTTAGGTTATCGCTCTCGTTCCTCCTTCAAACTGATCCAGCTTAACCGTAAGTTCCAGTTTCTGCAGAAAGCCCGAGCTCTGGTGGATCTGTGCGCTGCACCTGGAGGGTGGTAAGCATCCCGTCACCAGACATGCCGTCGTGTGTGGTAACAAAAGGAAAAGAAGTAACCCCTCTGGGGAGAAGCTGGCCAGTTGACCACTTTGCAGTCTTTGGTCATTCGCTTCTGTCACATGTGAACGATCACCAAAGGTCTTTGTTATAACAAGTGGCAGTTGAGTCAGGGACAGAGAGAAAAGAGCGACCACGTTGACAGAAGTGTTAGGGGGAGAAAGTCAGGGAAGAGGAGCTGACTGGTGATTGTACAGTTGCAGTTTGTATAAAGTTGCATTAACTTAGGACCGTGTGTGACCAACCTCGACCTCCTCTCTGGTGAGCACGACTCTGGTTCACTATAATCACAGACTTTCTTTTGCTGTGATTACAAGATAAAATGCACGAGCCTTACAGAAATGACAATACGGTACAATACGTCATGACGGAAGCGAAAACGGATAAATGAGTGATTTGTACTATGCAAAATAATCAAAGTTGAATTCAAAATCTCCTTTTCCAGGTTGCAGGTAGCGTCTAAGTTTATGCCTGTTTCAAGTCTGATTATCGGTGAGTGCAAATTTCTCCAATGACTCTGTTTCTGTTATGCTTCTAAAGCAGCTGTAATGCGTGTGACAATACTTCCCCATAAGAGTGGTTTCTTCTTCTCAGGTGTTGACTTGGTCCCCATTAAACCCATCCCCAACGTGGTGACACTTCAAGAAGACATCACCACTGAGAAATGCAGACAGGTGAGAAAGCTGCTGCTGTTCACAGCATCACTGAAAAAACATAAAATCAGAGATGATATTTCAACAGTAGAGATGTGGACAGCCAACGCTGTGTTTGTGACATGGTTTTAACTGATGAGACACTCTTTCCGTTGTACAGTCTCTCAGAAAGGAGCTTCAGACTTGGAAAGTGGATGTTGTGTTAAACGATGGAGCCCCAAATGTGGGAGCTAACTGGCAGCACGATGCCTTTTCCCAAGGTGAGTCGAGACAAAACGTCTAGAGATCAGACTGCAGTAAAACAGCATTCGCACTGTCCAAAAATGATTTCATTTGGTTGGATTGTAAGGGGTTCTTCTTTGATACATCCTTACCACTCTTTGATTTTGTGTCTCGTATGCCTAAACTAGTTCATGTCCATTTTCCACAGTATTTGGTATTTAAATCTAATTTTGAAATCCTCCCTTTTTCACCCACAGCTCACTTGACTCTCATGGCTCTGAAGTTGGCCTGTGAGTTTCTTACCAAAGGAGGCACCTTTGTCACCAAGGTGTTTCGCTCCAAAGACTACCAGCCTCTGCTCTGGATCTTCCAGCAGTTCTTCAAGAAGGTGCAGGCCACCAAACCACAGGCATCCAGGAATGAGTCTGCTGAGATCTTTGTCATCTGTCAGGGTCGGTCTCATTAGCACAACCTTTATTATTTCACTCGCTTTTTGAAGACAATAAATAATGACCTTCATTTTGACCTTGTTCTTGAGTAGCCTCACCTAAACCTCCCCCATTGTCATCATCAGGTTTTGTTGCCCCGGACAAAATCGACAGCAAGTTCTTTGACCCCAAGTATGCATTCAAAGAGGTGGAGGTGCAGGCCAAAACTGTGAAGGAGCTGATCCCTGTAAAGAAGCCAAAGGCATGTATCCTGACAAGTGTTTGGTCACGATAAGCATGTCAGATCTGGCTGTGATTGCCTGTTATGAAATTTTTAGCTTTTAAACACTTTGTTTTATTTATCAGTCACAAGGTTTAAGACTTACTTTAAGGCACATTTGAGCCCAGAAATGAACCATCAGTGATGAAGCAGCTCTTCTTCTGTTGCAGGCGGAGGGATATACAGATGGAGATCTGACGCTCTACCACAGTTTCACGGTGACCGATTTTCTGAAAGCCGAGAACCCAGTCGACTTTCTGGGAAAAGCCAGTGAGGTGAGCTTTTTTTGTTTGTTTGTTTGTTTGTTTGTTTGTGGGGGTGGGTGTGGTGGGGGGGGGGGGCTTTGAGACAGTCCTGTTAAGAATAAGAACTAAGAAGAAAACGTGCTTTTCTTGCTCTGTCTCATTCAGATCACCTTCAACAATCCTGATCTGGAGTTTCACTCAGCAACCAGCAATGAAATAAAGGAGTGTTGTCGTGACATCAAAGTCCTGGGCCGCAAAGAACTCCGGTGAGCTTTTCCATCTCTCGCCACGTTTGTGCTTTAGTAAGCTGCTGCTACTTTACTGTGCTTGCACATCACATACATCAGATGGTGTGAGAACGTGTAGCATGAAGTGTTGTTAACACGGGCCGTGTTTGCATGTCTTTTCTCACGTTTGCAGCCTGCTGCTGAACTGGAGGTCCAAGCTGAGGAGATACCTAGCTAAGAAACTGAAAGACGAGGCTAAGCAGCTCGACCAGGAGATCAGGTTTAAAAAAAAAGAAAAGAAAAAGCAGTTTAAATATTAAATCTTTGTTAAAGTGTGTCACACATAAATCATCTCTACATTGTTTTTAGCTTAAGCTCGGATGAAGAAGGGAGCAATTCAGAGGAAGAAGCAGGAAAGAAGGAGGATGAAGAGGAGGAGGGTGAGGACAACGAGGAGGAAGAAATGGTGAAAAAGCTGGCAGAGCTGAAAGCTGAGGAGGTGGCTGAGCTCAAACGGTATGAACCGCTTTAGTTTTTTGTGTTTCCGGTGACATTAATTCCTCATCTTTCCTACTTTGTCTTGATAGGTGCATCTTGCCTTAAAGAGAAGCAACACTTTACTTTTAGTTTCACCTCTCTTAGCTTTTGCCACGGATGCAGTTGTAGGGGCAAACCAAGAAACTGTCTCTTGCTGATTTGGCAGGAAGAAGAGGAAACTGCTGAAGGAGCAGCGGAAGCAGAGAGAGAGAGTGGAGCTGAAGATGGATCTACCGGGTGTGTCCATCGCCTCCACTGAGGACTCGTCCTTGTTCTCTCTCGTCTCCATCAAGAAGAAAAAGGTAAACGTCACACGCTGCTTCCCAAAAGCACCAAACTCAAGATCAGAATACCGCTGATTCCCACAGAGTTCAAGTACCACGAGCTTTATCACTGAGAAGCGGCTTCATGTTAATTTCTCGGCCCCTCAGGTGCTTGTTGACATATCAAAGGGGGACATGAAGGCAGCGGACACTCTGGTAGATGAAGACGATGATTTTCACCTCTCCGATGAAGATGGCGATGATGCAGATAAAATGTCACTGGCATCTGATTTGGATGACGAGGATCTGGAAGAGGTGGAACGGCGACAAAAGGAGCTGGAAAAGAAAGCACCAAAAAAGAAGTAAGAGGCCATTCAGAGCAAAAGCACTCTGAGGTACTGGTGATGTGGTGCCTGGCTCTGTAGGAGTTCTCTTTAGAAAGGTGTTAAGCACTGAATAGCATGTATACATTAGGGCTGGGTATCACTGATTTCTAGAATCGATTCTATTCCGATTCACAAGGTCCTGAATCGATTTGATCCACGATTCAA